GAAAACGTGAGTGAATCTGACAACTCCAGGAAAAAACCCGCCGTAAAGGTACAACTAGAACCCTTCGATGCTTCCGTGTCTTCTCTGCTGTAAAGTTTAGGAAGCACGCGGGTTTTTGTGTGCATCAGAAACTCCCATTGTCCTTTTTCCCTCCATTTCTATTCAACCGTAGCATAAAGTACACACTGCAACCTCCCAGAGAGTCCATCGTCCCAGATATGTGGCCTCTGATCAGCAGCCTGGTCCCAGCCTGTAGCAGGGTGATGTATGGAGCCTGACAGCTGAGCTGTGCAGGGAGGACTCAGGGAGGAGATGAAAAGCTCAGAGAAACACAGCTCTGGGGGCCGTCAGAGTCCCCGGGATGCAGGAAGGTAGCTGCTATTTGTCTACGTGAAAATGGACTCCGGGACCCACATGCAGTTCTTTCCGTCTCTGCAAAACTCTCCATATTGTGTTTGTGGAGCAGCGCTGATTGGAACCGGTACTTGGGCTTTCTTCTTTTTGCTTGTCAGATTGTGGGCTTTGCCAGAGGGATTTGAGCTATGTGGTCTGAATCAGAATCGAACAACAGATACTCTACGGGGAGGCTGAGTCGGATGAAAAATGAGAATAATTACTTCTGGACCAGGAGTCGCTGTTTTTGATAGAAAATAAGGAGAGAATATGTGTCGTCCTAAAGCGCATTAATTACAGTGGCGTTTACTTAATTAGTACTTATCTTTGCATTTTCTTTGTGGTGTTTTGTCAAATGGGAAATATCATCTGCTGTGTGGACGTGTTCAGATGTACTTCTGTTGTATTCATTTGTGTTTTACCAGGAATTCAGAGGCAGCATCACGGCCCTGACTGCTGAGTCTTAGTTATCACAATAACAGTTACTACCATGTCACCTCATATTGAAGCATTCCTGGCAGACATTCATCCATTCTCTTCCTGACTGTGGTGCACATTCACACTGGTAGTATTTTATGAATAATAAAGCACTGAACTAGTTTTAGACTTTCATATCATCTTTGTGGGGAATCGTGTGAATTGACCCCATAGAGGGGCGATCAAGTGGAGTTCTCTTTCTCACATGGCAAGATTTTGGAAGAGGGGAAAATAAAATAATGCTAAAGTAATCTTTACAACATATAAACGTGGAAATACTAATATGGAGCTTATGTTGACATGAGGGCAGTCACAAAACCAGATTCATCAATCATCATATTGTTGTTATATTTATGAATTTTGAAAAAAAAAAAATGCTCTGTCAAATTCATCTTTAGCTTTGTTTATTGCATGTTAAGTCTCTCTCTTTTTCTTTTTTTTTTTGAAAAATAATTACTCTCAAAATACAACTGTAAGGGCGTAACTATAGCTCACCTGGCTGAGCAGGTGACCCATGAACAGGGCTATAGTCCCCGATGCAGCGGTCGCGGGTTCAACTCCTTTGCTGCAGGCCTCTCTCTGTTCTTCCTGTCTGTCTCTACTGTTCTAAAAATAAAAGCAAAAGAACAAAAATTATATTTTAAAAACATAAAATAAAATAGAGAGGGAGTCTGTCGCTGTAACTGTACTGTATGTTGTTCCACATGTTGGAGCGTCAACCAGATGCTGAATTATTTAAGACACGATCATATGTGCATCATTAACATGATCTGAATATTAGCTTTTAAAATACATTGCAGCTGTCGTCATGTCGGCATCCATTTATTGCTAGTTGATAATATTCTAAACGGCAGAGAGGTCTGTAGATGCTGACAAGTCTAAGCTACTACCTGTAAAAACTAAAACTTAACTTGTTTTTAGCTGTATTACCAGTGGCCAGTGGTTCTCAAACTGGAGGTTGGGACCTCCATGGGGGTCCCAAGATAATTTCAGGGGGTGTTATGATTTGATTAAGCCATATTATTATTCTTTTTTGCTCTTTATAAAATTACATTCTTTGTTTTTAAATTTTTTTCCCTTTAATTTGTTCACAATAAATTCAATTCATTCATTCATTCATTCAAAAGAAAATCAACGTGTTAATGTAAAAAGATCAATCTGTGGATTTAACGCATTAGTTTTTATGGCATTAATGCACGATCAACAAAGTTATTACTCATGAGATATTAAAAATACAAACCGGGGGGTCACAAACACAAACTGATGTTATCTTGGGGGTCGTGGCTCAAAAAGTTTGAGAACCACTGATCGAGGCCACACATAGCAGATATTACCCATATTGCTTTGCTAATATTAAAAACGTCACATTTTAAAATTCAATGCAGATATTTGTTTGCAAGAACACAACTTTGTCTCTTTTCCCTCCCTCACCATCCACCAGCACAGCCCGTCGTCTTAAAACTGCTCACATTTAGTGTCTGTTTAACCTCCTTACTAACTCCTAACTCAATCTACTGAAACCCAATTTCAGGAGACAACATTTACAGACACACACGCAGCATCCATCAGTGTGTTTCTCCTGCAGGGTGGTTCTGTTGAACATGCATCATGGGTGCCGGGAGTCATTTTTGATTAAGAGAAAGAGGAAAAAGGGAAACAGAGGAGCGACACGAGGCGGACAGAGAAGGGGAAGAGTCGAGGCACGGCGAGCATTCAGATGTTTTGACACGTTGCAAAATCGATTGAAGGCCGAATGCCAAACACTGAATAGTGCAGCGTGGATCGAGCTGCGTGGCCATTAAAGGAGCAGCTGACGCTCTGCGTTGGCAGGTCTGGGATCAGCATTGTGGAGGAAGAAGTGACGCACGTGGCGCTGTCAGATAGCGTATTAGCAGAGGGCCGTGAGTTTTATAAAATCAGCAGATATGTGCAATGATTAGACACTCAACATGTGGTGTCGGCGCATACGAGTGTTTGTACACTCAAGAGGAAAAGACATGAAGAATCAGCAGATAATCTCATGTTGCAGTTTGCAGTATGTGTGTCTGTGCAGACGTGAATGCACATTTAAGCAGACATGATGTGA